AACATTTTATATACTCATTTTTGTCCCTGGGCCCATCATAATCTTTATTTGAAATAAATATCAGAAAACACTTGTCAAAATAGACCAGAAAGCTGTAATGAATTAAAACTTCATCTTTGGAAGCTGTGGTTTTTAATTCATGAAAATACCTCAGATATTCATTGCAGAGTATTTATTCTCTTCGTAAGCTTTTTATTCTTTCCAGGAATATTTTCCCTCTCTAATCATAGTGCTATAATTACTGAGTTATCCTTTATTATACCTTTTATTTACTTCTTGCTGGCATTTTATATTTATTGAATTACTAAAAAACTGCTTTCAACGGGTGTGGTGGAGCTCACCTGTAATCCCAACACTTGGGAGGCCTAGGCAGGAGGAGGATTATGAGTTCGAGGCCAGCCTGAACTGCATAGTAAAACCCTGTCTCAAAAAGACCAAAAAACGGAGGGGAAACAAAAACCACACTGACATGAGCATATAGTTTTGTCATTTCAGGAATATGTCCACCCATTCTCCATGCCTGTAATAAAGTAAGTTAAGCAGTTTTAGGTACGGTTAGTAACTAAGTTTATTTTTTTTAATTTTGAAATTTAGTTTGCTTTTAAAAGCTAATAGTGATATTTAATTCTAACAATAACGTCACTTTTGTCTGTGTAGCTTTATGTTTTAAATTTTATCTTTGTTAAAAAAATTCACCTTTTTTTATTGTTGTTTTTGGTTTTGTACCAGAGATTGAACTCACAACCTCGCACTTCCAAAGCACGCACTTGGGCTGCCGAGCTAAATCTCCAGCCCAAAATTTATCTTTAAAATAATGTCTTGGGATATTTGCTGTGTGTGTACACTTAAGAGAATCTGCCTTTAATGAATAATGCTCATCATTTTTGTAGCAGGAATTTTCTTGAAATTGTCTTTTTTTCTATCCACATTATATTTTAGTCTAATAAAGCAATAGTATTTAATTCTCCTCATTATGATTAGAATGCAGATGTTCCTCAGTTTATGTGATCACTACCTCAAAAAACATTAGGTTCAAAATGCATTTAATGTATCCAATTTCATGAATACCTCAGTTTAATCTAGAATACCTTAGATTTGTTCAGAACATTGATTAGCCCACAGTTGACAATCATCTTATGTAAGGCATATTTTATGCTAAGGTGTTGAATGTCTCAGGTAGTGTATTGACTACTTTATCCAAAAATCACTGCTGATACCATATACTAGTATGATTGAAAAATAGGCTGAAATTTTAAATTGTATAGACACATTGCCATTACCCCCCCCACACACACACACACAAAAGCACACTTCCTCTTACTTGGAACACACTTACTTCATCATCCTTGCCACTTTCTGAAGCAGTTCTGAAGTCCTCTTTGATGTGTTTAGTTACTCCATCATGTCTGCTTTGATGTCTTGAATAGATTCAAAATGTTGACCCATCATGGTTGTTTTGCCTTTGAGGAAGACCAGCTGCCAGATGCCGTGAGGAAGGTGGGGAGGATACACTGACACTGCTGTGAGCCTGACTTGGCTTTGGGTGTCAGCAATAGCACTCCCCATGTGTTTCATCTCAGCCCTGAAGCTGCTCCTAAAGGAGGGCTTCCAGAAGGGCTTCAGAAAGGAGCAGAACAGTGCCGTTCTGTTTGAAGTGAGGCGGGCAGGGTGTGCAGAGAATTTGTGGCAAGGTTGTTTTTTGTTTTTTTTTTTGGGGGGGGGCGCTTGAGACCTGGTTTCACTGTACAGTTCAGGCTGGCCTTGGACTCACTTTGATGCCCAGGCTGGCCTTGAACTTGAAGCAATCCTCCTGCCTCTCAGCGCTGGAATTACAAGTGTGTGCCACCATACCCAGCCATCGGTGTGTCTTTACTGTAATAAATATTTTTAATTTAAACATGCTCCTTATATTTTGATGGCCCCTCGTACACTGTGGAGTATGAGTTTTTTCCTCCTCGTAATCCCACACGTGCTTGGGGGCTGTCACTGCCTGCAGTCACCGCCTGTCACTAGTTCCAGTGGAAGGTTGCATTTGAAGTATGATTTTATAAAGTCAAGAAACCATTAGGTCAGACCAGTGTTAGGCTGGAAGAGGGCCTTCTGTATTGATGTCTAAATGAGTCACTAGTCAAAAATAACCAGATAAATTTATATAGGACAGCCTTTACTTTTTTAGTAAATTATGCTGTACTAAAAACTTAATACTGTTTCAGGTTTGCTTTGCTAGGGCAGTGCCTTGTTATTTTAGTTTTATAGATGCCTAAGTATATTTATCAAAATATTTAAATTGGGACTTGTTATAAAAAAGGGTAGTTGGAGGGTTAGGGTTTGCTTCTGACTCTGTTAGTTCTGGGGAATACCTTTTATTAGACTGCAAATCCTCCCGTCCCAGAGAAGCCTGTCCAATTCTAATTGTACTCTTAATTTTATTGTCAAATTCTTTGATGATCTTACAGGAAAAAGTAAAGAAAACTATTAACCGAAAAGAATGTTTCAGAAGTTAAATGCTTCCTGAGGGAAATTCTAAACATACAAGGAAAGCAGCTTACTACTGTTTTGTAGAGTAGAGAAATACTCATTCTTTTCTATTGAAGAATTAACAAAACGTTTTATGTAGAATTTGGCTTGGATTATTAATTGTTGGCTTAGGTTTCTCTTACTAAGTCAGTTATCTAAAACCAGAAAAAGAGAACATGAAGTTTTGTTTTTATGTTTGTTCAGGATTGGGTTTTCTTTTGGGAAACTGGCCCAGAAATGTACTAGAGAATACATTGGTATATGTTAATACACTCAAAAATTGAGGATTTCCTGATTGCTTTTTTTATTTTCTGTTCATTTTTGTGGTGCTGCTGTTTACTAATTTTGCGGTGATTATCTTTTTTTTCTCTTTATATCATTTAAATTTGTTTTATGGTTTATACTCTGAAGTGCCTGAGTTAGGTTAACACTTGCAGGCCATAGAAGCATGTAATAATTCAGAATTCTAAGAAAAGCTGGGGTCTTTGGGGGTTGGTTTGTTTTGGTCTGTCTTTTAGAGACAGGGTCTCACTGTGCAGTTCAGGCTCTCCTTGAGCGCACTTTGTAGCCCAGGCTGTGGTCAAACTCACAATAATCCTCTTGCCTCAGACTCCCGAGTGCTGGGATCACAATTGTGCGCTACCTTGGCTGGCTCTTGGTTAGTGTTTGTAAATTTTAATTTAACAAGTATTCTAAAATTCCATCCCCCTGAAATTTGGTAATTAGCAGATGCTCCAGTTTCTAAGGTTGTCACTCCATCTTTGGGTTTGTGGATCCTCTGTGTGTTTTCTTAAGATACAGTGTCTGGAGTTATAAAACAGAAATAGTGCTTCCAGTCCTGTCAGTAAATTTAGGTATATTACTAAATATCTTGAGGCCTGGTTTTTCTTTTTTTTTTTGTCTGTCAAGTGGGGAAGAACACAAAATCTGTCTCTCCTATTTCATGAAACTCTAAAATAAAAGAGAAAAATGAGATTGCTGGAAAATTCTTTAAAACACAGAAACTAGCTGACTCCAGACATAGTGGCATATATCCCAGCACTTGGAGGCTGATGCAGGAGGATCTGAGTTTGACATCAGCCTGGACTACCAAAAAAAAAAAAAAAAAACCCTGACACTTTTCATTTGTAAGTTGTTATGGCCATGATCAGAGTTTTTTGCCCCTTTTGTGTTTTTTTACTGTTTTTTACTGTTTTCAAGTTTACAGGCATTGGTCCAGTCAGCTTTCAGTGGTACTTAGTATAGTGCTCTTAGATTTTCTATGTTGTTTCCCTGTTTGTTTACTTGTTATTAGAAAGTGCTTTATTCTAATAAGCTTTCTCATTCATGATAGCAAATTAAGACTTATTTCATCAGCCCAGAGATACAGCTGAGCGGCACAGCACCTGCCTGGCAGGCACAAGGTCATGAATTCAATCCCTAGTACCAAAAAAAGAGAGACTATTTTCTCTTTTTTCCTTTTTTCTTTTTTGTTTGTTTGTTTGGTTCATTTGCTTTGTTTTTGTTTTGCGTCTTTTTGGTACCAGGAATCAAACTCACGACCTCACACTTGCCAGGCAGGCACTGTGCCACTGAGCTGCACTGTTTTCTCTACACAACCTTTGTTATTATGGCTGACTTACAGATTCAAAAGAAATTTTATTTTGTAAAATTACTTATTTTGGAAGTAATCTTACTTACCCCCTGAGAGGGTGCCACCTCATTTTCAATGTGTTAATCTAGGACTATTCTCACAACTTGCTTCTGTTGCCTTAATGATGTTTGTATTAGTGTTCTGATAGTATTTATTTTTAAAACAGGTCACATTTTTGACCAGCATTTAGGAAAGATTGACTGAACATGTGAACACATGCTGGGCGTCAAACCTAGTTACTGTGGCTGCAAATGTGATATGGTCTCTGTTGTCACAGTTATAACCTACAGAGGACAGAAGAAAAAATTTAGGCCCTCAGCTCACCGGAGTCATCTTTTTGTTTGTTTTGTTTTTGTTGTTATTTTTATGACAAGGTCTCACTATGTAATCCAGGCTGGCCTCCAACTCAAGATGACCCTCCTGCTTCAGCCTCCAGAGTGCTGACATTGCAGGCATGCACCACACCTCGCTTCACACTGAGTATTTATGTAGTACTTGTCTGGTGGGTAGTCTGTTAGTTTGGATGCCACTAACAACAATTAGTAAAGCATTTCTTTTTAAGCAAACTGGCTCCTAAGCCAGACTTCTTGAGTTTCCTCTTTGCCCTAACTACCTCACAGTCTCTATTTTGAATATAGGCGCTGTGTGAAGTAGTTGGAATTTAAAGTTTAAGATTCCAATGAAAAGCTTTACTTTGGTCAAAAATTTCTAACAAATTTTCCATTTTCTTATTTATTACATATGCAAATTTTGAAATTAAGGCTTTGTACCAGATAGCATTTATGGTTAGAATTTTTAAATTTGGATGTTCTAAAATACTGTAGGCAATCTAAATGTTTCATTTTTACAGCGGGGCCATATGGAATATTTGCTGGCAGAGATGCCTCCAGAGGACTAGCAACGTTTTGCCTAGATAAGGATGCACTTCGAGATGAATACGATGACCTCTCAGATTTGAATGCAGTACAGATGGAGAGTGTTCGAGAATGGGAAATGCAGTTTAAAGGTACTTTCATTTTAAGTTCTTGACAAAGTAAATATATGTTCAGAGACAGAGTAAATATATGTTCAGTATACTATTCCACATGCTTAAGAAACTCAAGAATGTCAGTGGTTTTATTGCCATCATTTGATGATATTGTAAACATAGCTGGATATTAATGGTTATATATGGTGATTATTTGTAAAATATATAAAACTTGTATCAGCTATAAACCTAAAAGATTGACCAGGCAGTTGTGAGTTCAATCCCTGATACCCATAAAAAGGAAAAAGATAAAAAAACCTAAAAGATGGTGATACTTTTGGTCTTTTAAGTACTTGTTCATTAAGATACAGTGTTTTTATATTTTTTTAATTACAGACATATTCAAAACTGAATTGGTTGGTGGGGCTAAGTATAGATCACATGGCCCTGAGATCAATCCCAGTACCACCAAAGTGTTCATTAGTGATCTTTATATTGTAAAAGATGTTAGTTTTACTCTCCAACAGTAACAAGTATTCTTCCCCTGATTATACTTTCATGACACTACTTTTTACCTGTATGACACCGTGACCTATATATATGACCCCTGAATCTCTCAGAATAGCTATTTTGGCTTCTTGCCACTCGTACTGGTTCTGTTATATGAAATAGTCCTTTTATCTCATCCTCTCTACAGCTGATTTACTTAACCTAAGTTAACATCACTTATCCTAGGTTTCAATTTCTGACCAAGAAGCAAACGTGTTACCTACATACAAAACTTGAAATTAAACACTTACTCACCAAAAAGCAAAAGAAAGTTTTGTTTTGTTTTGTTTTGTTTTTAATTGGTACCGGGGATCGGAAAAAGAAAGTTTAAAAGAGGAATAATATCATACTAGAAGCCACATGCAGGCCTCTGTCACAGGGTGACCACTAGCAAATGAATTTTCATCTCTGCATTTAGTTTACTGCCTTGAGGACCACTGCTGTCCGTCACATGTCCAAAAATGTCTCGGTTGGATCTTTTAGCTCCAATAAAGTCAGCATTTCTTTTTTCATGGTCTGTACTCTAAAATATTAGCCCTAGGGTTTATTTTCTTTCCACTTCCATGCAAAATCTAATAGATTTTTTAAAAACTAGCATCATGTACAGGTCCAAATTCCCTATTGTTAATGTTATCATTAGATCTAAAGTGTACCAATTTGAAAAAAGAGAAAAAAGAAACTTAGAAATTCCCAGCATTGCCAGCTCATTTCTTCAGCTCCATAGCTTGGGCTATCAGGATTTAAAAAACAGTCCTGAGACCCACAGCGCACCTTGGGCCAGCTTCAGGCCTCTCCAGGCCTAATTTACGAGCCTGGGTTGGACAGCTGAGGTAGATGCCATCTGTGTATGTGTATGTATGTGTGTATATATATATATATATATATATATATATTATAAGATCTCCAAGTGATTCTGTATAGTATCTGATTAAGAGCCAATGATATGGAACACTGTCCTGCAGAAAATGATTCCCAGGCTTTATAATACTGTTTTCTTTTGCTCAAGCTTTGCATGTAAAAAGACCAGCCATGGTGAAGCATTAGGAAAGGTTTAGCTTATTCTGTACATTTCTAAAAGCACCAAGTGCCTGTCTTCCCTCTATAACAGAACAGTGAAACAATTTGGCTAATGATTTTCTTTTGCTGTATCTTTTCAGAGAAATATGATTATGTAGGCAGACTCCTAAAACCTGGGGAAGAACCTTCAGAATACACAGATGAAGAAGATACCAAGGATCATAATAAACAGGATTGAACTTTGTAAACAACCAAAGTCAGGGGCCTTCAGAACTGTAATTCTTACTCCCTTTCACGGAATGTCCAGTGTCTTTTGGTTTGATTCACCTGCTGCGAAAAATATTCGACAGATTGTATGCAAGATAAATGAGTCTCACTATGAAGATTTGAAACTAGACATTATGTGTGCTGCCAAACTCATTTGTTGCAGTTGTTTGTAATGTCTGGTGGGGCTCCGTCATCCTGAGAAGGAACAGACAGGCATTCTTAAACAGTACGAAAGCCACCAGGTTACTTTAGCTTTTCTTCCCCGCCTCCCTACCCTTCCCCATAACCACCCCCTTCCCGCTCCCTTCCCCATCCCCCATCAGACTTCATTCTCTCTCCTCTTTGTTTTTCCCTCTCTCCTTTTTCAAAATAATATCAAAGACAACCACATAGGTATTTGCAACTCAAGTGGACAAATCTCAAAAACCACTGCAGGCCTCCTGTGTCACATGCCGTGTCTTTATTTTAGCACTGAAGAGGGAGGGGCCTGGGCAGAGGAGGCTGGAGTTGCACCTTCATTTGAGTATTTCAGGCTACTGAAACATTAACAGTTCTATTCCCAAACTCTCCTTTTTGGGCTTCATCAGGAAAAAGGGAGAAATTGGGGGAGGGAGACAATTTCAAGTGGATTGAAATAAGGAAATTCCCCCAAGATCATTTCAAACCAGTTTTATCCCTCTCCTTCCTTCCCCTAGATCAAATCAATATTAATTGTGCCTTATTTCACAAACTCCATAGACTTGAATTATTTTTAGGGAAAGCCCCTATATGAATTTAGAAGTCACTACAAACAGCATTGAGACTGAGGTTGGAATATTCTATTGACCCACAAAACCTTGATGTCATTCTGTGTATATAGAATGTAAAAGGAATATTCAGTGTTAACTGCCATATATGTTGATATACACAAACTTAATTAGCATTGTGATGCCAAATGCATTCCCCAATGCTTTTTCTTTTTCAAAAAGAAAAAAAAATTGGAAATCAGATCAACAGCTCTTACCCCTTACAGAAGCTGCCTAACTTTAGGAGTCTGACGTTCACATCTCGCTGGTGTGGGCGCGTGGGGCCGCAGTGTGGATGTCTGTGTGGATGTGTCTGTATGTGTGTGAGTGCCTTGGAAGGGATTCTTTCTGCAGATACTGTAAATATAAGTACCGTTTTAATAAAGCATGTACAATAAACCAAAATAAGCTTGAGTTGGATTTTATATTGCAAAACTGTAAGTCAGTGCATTATGATATGGTAATAAGATTGTCCATTTGATTCACGATGAGGAAACCTCTTGGAAATGCAAAGCAGGCGCTGGTTAGCCAAGTTGTACACATTGTACCACATGCAGTGTAACTGTCGGAAGAAATTCCACTTTGGTGGAACATGAAAAGGTCTGAGAGTATTCAGGTAAGAATTGATTCATAAAAGCATACATATTTTTACTTTATATGTTGATGCCAACCGATTGGATTAGAAGTAATAGCACTCCAGGCAAAAGTTATGAACTGCAAAACAGTGAAAGATAATGTACTGATCTTATTAAATTCTTCCCTCAGTAGACTGAAGAGGTCCTTACTAAAAGCCCTACATATGTTAATCATGATTTCATCATGACAGTGTAAGTTCTGGATTGAGGACAGGTCACACCAAAATAATTTTCAGTCACCAGTTTTAAAAGAGTTCTGCTTAATAGGCATGATACATGCAAAAGCCATCAAAAAGGGAACTTGGGACTGCAGCAGTAAGCTGAAGTGTGTAAAATACTACATTCTATTCAATCTTGTGATGTTTTGTGGAAAAATTAGTCAATCTTGGCTGAAGAATGGTTGTGAGGACTTAAGAGTGTTGGGAAATGCTTTGTGTTTTTATGTATTTTCTAAAAAACATTTGTTAAAGTACATGTCCTCTGCAGTAAACAGATATATATATGTATATATATGAATTATTTGAGCCTACAGTTCAACAATAAACCTGCACTTGTGAATAGAGAAACCCTAAGTATTCATATAGTAAAAGCTATGTGGTCTGTTAAGAGTAATTTTGTGTTTTGGACTTCAAATAAACTGTGTTCTGTAGATAATCCCTTAATTCCAGTGAATGTTTCCCATTCCCAGGTGCTTCGGCCGGCTATTGGTGTGGGGCCACAGCCTTGGTGTGTGGTTCCTGTTGTGTTCCTGTTAGCCAGCATTTTTCAGATTTGTCTGATTATTTCAGATCATTTAAAATGCTCATACGATAGATTCTTGCCTCCCATTCCAGCCTGCCACCTGTGGAGCCAGAATCTTTGAGAGAAGGGCCTCAGGTAACGCTTGGGATTGGGCATACTTGAGAAACACCATGCATACTGAACTTTCCAAGTTACTGCATATTTGCTAGGCAACTCAAATAGAATTTACTGATAGGTAATACATTCAGTTTTGTATTACTTCCTAAACTTCCTTAGCTATCTGAGTTAAGATTTAAAATCTAATACATGACTTTAGAAAATAGCAAATTTTAATATTTTTTTTATCTTGCCAGCATCACCTTGGCTTATGTCCCCCGATAAAAGCTCTGCTGTACGTATTAGTCAGTTTCTCTGTACTAACACCCCATTCAGATACAGAGGTGGTTTTTAAAGACTTGACCGTGGTGCTATATATCTTCTTATGTTGTCCTGACGGTATTTCCACCCTTTCAGATATCTGCAGTCTGGCAACACACCCACCTCTACCAACAACCAAGGAACTTGACTTTAATATGTTGAATTAACACTAGAGAACTTATGTTCGCTGGGAAACGATATTGAATCACTCATCCAAGGATTCCACTTAATCTGTATTGATGAGTCCGTGCCACATAGCTAGTTGCTAGGAATGTGTGTCATTGACAAGTTAACACTAATTGCACAGAGCTTTTATAGACAAATAAATTGGCAATATTGTACCAAGAAAAAAATTCCTTTGAGCATGTTGAAAACAAGAGGCATGACTTAGAGTGATACTGATTGAATTACAGTTCTGACTTATCCCTTCAATGAAAATAGCAAATGCCTAAGGACAGCTTTTGAGTATGTTCCATTCCACCAAGGTCAGCTATTGTTTGGTAAGTGGTATTAATCTGACTTCGACCTATTTGGCAATGGCAAAAATGTTCAACTTGACTATTTTTAGGCTAAAAGCGTAATTCCTAGGCATTGTCAGGAATGACTGTCTCATCACACTCTTGAGTCACTGAGAGGAGGCCCTGCCCTAGCTGTCAGCTTTGCTTTTGTTCTGCCATCACTTGTCATGGGCAAGTCGTGCAGCTTCCTGTGATTACTCCATCCAAGGGCATGAGCTGCACAGGGGGCCGAGGCTAGGGGATTGCAAGTTTGAGCCAAGTCTGGGCAACTTGGTGACATGGTATGGTGATCCTGTCTCAGAAACTTACTAGAGGGATGAGAATATAGCTCAGTGGGAAGGCTCTTGGTTCAGTCCTCAGTACTAAGAAAAAAGCATGAGATACCCTGTGAGCTCTGGTTTATTCTCTGTTACAGCCACCAGGACCCAACTAAACTTCATGCAGCAGTGTAAGAAGTACCACAGTATTGGCACATGATTTTAAATGCTATAAAGTGTGATTTAAAAGGCTGTGTAATAATGCATCTAAGTAAAAATTTTAGTTTGTTCTATATGTAGTACGGTTTTAGTTTGTTTAAAAAAAAAAAAACCAAGAGAGGACAAATTTAAAGATGGATCCACATATGCTTTGGTTGGTTATAAAAACAATGTATGCTCATTATAAAAAGTAAGAGATGACCAAAACTTTGGAGTTAAGCAGTTAATCTTTCCCAAAACACTTCTCTTCAATTCTTTCTCTGTGTGGAGTTAGAGTATATTTTCCTGTTCAAGGCTTCAGGCTCAAGATGCCCACCCAGACATACTGGACTTGCAATCTCAAGATGCTTGCGCAGCCTCCCTTCCAGTCACTCCTGTCCCACCTCTGTCCTGTGCTGTCCTCCCTCACCTGTCTTCCTCCCTGCTCCCTTCCTGCAAACTCATGGCCTCCCGTGGCTCCCTGCTCTTCAGGCCTTCAGTGGCTCCTTTCTGCAGAACCCAGACCTGCTAGGCCTGCACACTGCCTCTTCCCTTCCTACTTCATTGACTGCTGCTGAGAACTGCTTCTACCTTGCTGGGACAGCTTGGCTTGGTCTGCGGTCTGCAGCTGTGTTACTCTTCCCAGCCCACAGCTGTCCGCCCTGCTGGCTGACTTGCTGGGTCTTCAAGGCTCAGATTCAGGGCCCAAGGTTGAATTTGGGTGCCCGCTTCTCTCCTAATAACAGATGCATTTCTATCACTGAGATTACTATTGTAATAGTCTCTTTAAAAGCCCGGACGGATTTATACTCGATTAGGCCCAGTGTTTTCCCCAGCCACTACATATTTGCTCAGTCCATTTTGTTAAATGAATTTGTAAACTGAGAGGGTAAACAGGAGCCGTGCCACACCAGCACTTGTGAATTCTGCTTATTGGGCTTGCAATTAATCAGGAGTTTCTATGCTGTCAAAAAACAAGAAAAAAGAAATCAAAACCATGGGACTAGGTGATCTCCAGTGCTCTTTCAGTTTATGAATCCTAGGTAAAATTATGCATGCTTATAAATATTGAGTGTGGCCGCATAAGTGCAAAAGACAGAGCTGTCTTCGTGACAGCCGGATGGAGGAGAGGCCCTCACCTCAGCACCTATGATCAGGGTCGTGCTGTAGCTTGTGCAGCTGGGGTGGGGGGAGGGGTGTCCAGTTTTTTTCTTGTAACAAAAACAGCATCCCACCCTTCAGACATCTCACTCGGAGACTCGAGTCTTGCCCCTCTGTCACAGAGACACTCTTTGCAACACCGGCCTGGCCAGTGCTGGTGCTAATTAAGAAAAAGACAAGAAACATTTCAATGGATCTTCCCGAAGACAGACTCCAACATAATCAGTATGAAGAGCACAGCCTAACCTGTTGTGCTTCCCCAGGAAACTCTGTTTGTGGGGAAAGCCCTTTGCCCTTGCAAGTGTAAGAAGTGTGAGAAAGGAAAACAAAGCTCCAGGGAGCCGGTGTCCCCAAGGCAGGGGGAGCCCTGCCAGCCCTGTGTTTGCAGGCTGCGTCCACTGCCCACTTCAGCAAGAGCATGGCCTGCAGTGAGTGGCTCAGCCTCCACTCCTCTCAGCCTGACTTCCTTCAGGTGTGGAAGGAGACCGACACACATTTGGGGGCCACACGTCATTTTATTTAAAGGAAGGGTCTGGATAATCGTCTGGATAATCAATCCTTTGTTGATTAACTGGACAGTTTTGCATCTAAAAACTGTTCACTCTCTGATGGTTACAAAGTACATCTGATATGTAGTAACAGGATCAAATTACTAAAGTTCAGCAATAATGCCAGGAGACAGTTTCTACATTTATCGATATTGTCATGTGCCCAGTTTGTGACTTATTTTCAATCGGGGCTCCTAGAGTAGGGTTACCTTGAAACCATCTGCAAATGGTGACCCTGGTGTTAGCAGAAAAGAAACCAAGAGATTATAGCAAATTGCAAGAAACCATCATGACTCACTGTTCTTACTGCTGAACAGTAAACTATTCAGTAAGCTTGTCAACTATTTTTAACCAGAAGCAAAATTGAAAATGCCAGGTGACAGCCACGAGTTCACCCATGCACTTCCTGTGCGTTTCACAGATTCATTTGCCTTGTTTTTGTTCACCTTTCAACCACCTCAACATAGTTGAGAATCACTTCACAATCCAACTTGGGTTACGATGTAGTGATTAGAATGGCTAAATATGTTATGTTCTGTCCAAAGATTTTTCCCAAATGACTGATAGAACTCTTGTCAATCAAGTTAAAAGTATAGTCACCGTAAATTAAAAATTACCAGGCTCACGTATCTTAAACAGATTCTGGGACAGCCAGAATTTAATTCCAAGGAATCTTCTCATGATGGTTATTTTTATATGTCAACTACACTAGTCCGCCATGTCTGGTTGTTTGGTCAAACACTCCCCTAGATGCAGATATGATTAATGAAAGAGTTTTTGGCACGATAAAAGAGAGACTATAAGGTAAAAATAGCCTTTATTCCAAGGATGTGGAGAAAAGTCCATGACCACTGGTGGCCTGGCTTTCTCTACCAGAACATGGAGTATGGGATATACATATAACCTCTGATGGGGGTGTTACTTAGGGCGGGC